CAGGTCCCTTCCGAGCCTAGAAACTATGAAACTATGAAATTCCAGATGGGGAGCCTCAGCTGAGAAAACTTTGCTCCTAAACACAAAGGTGCATGTCTGCCCCTGCTGTAACTTCACTGAAGTCGTCTGGATGGGACTTGGAAGTGGCTGATGCAGGAAAGGGGAGAAAGAGCCAAGGGGTCTGCAAAGGGAGGCATGTACACTCGTGAGGACACGAGGTGCTTTGTAACGGCATCCATCTGGGTTGGTCAGGATGCCCCATAGAGAAGAGGAGCGCTTGGTCTTCGGGCTGAAGCACAGAAGTGAGCCAAGACATTCTGTCTCCAACTTCCTCTGCAGCTTCAAGCAAGCCATCTCCTGGCCAGTGTCACCAAACTACTATGTCCCTGAACAATGGGGTTTGATGGGACTTATTTAATCAATGTAGGCTATGCACATTGAGATCCCCAAGTGAGCAGTGCTCTACAAAGTGACAGTATGCATAGGGATGAAAAGCAACGGCTTCTATAGAAAGAAAGGACTGGGGAACCTTTGCAAAAAAGCCTGGTGAGAAAGTGGGGGGGAGGTGATGCACAGCCATAGAAAGCTCTACATGACCCAAGCTCTCATGTAAGCAGGTCCTTCTTCCCCTCTGTTTGAGCTGCTCAAGACAGAGCAGATTGATTTAAAATAATAATGTTCCCCCATTTGATCTGTACTGCATCATCTCACATGTCAGAGTGTCATTATAAATCCCTTGGAGAGGGATTCTGCTCCATAACCTTTTTTTTCAGATGAGAGAGAAAATCTCACAATTAATCAGTTCACTATTCTATTAACTAATCTGCCAAAGCCTGAGAAGACTTGTCTAGTTTTCTGATTACCAGAGCAACAGTTTATCTTTTCTTAAGATAGATTTATACCGTCTACCAATCCCTCTACCACACAATAAATGCAACTCTGATTCATTGAATTGCTGTCAGTAGTGTTGGCAGAATCAAAGGCACTTCCAGTAATTAAAGCCGATTCTTTTTAACTGAATGTGGTTAAAGGTCTCTCTGGTCAAACAGAGTATAATATAGAAACTGAATTTACAAATGTGTAAGCGGGAGAAGTAAAGATTTCACAATATTATCCCAAACAAATTATTTTCAATAATAAACAATGGATGATAAACATAATCCATTTAGCAATGTTTTCCTTTTCAATAAACTGATAATTTGCTCTTTGTTTTTATTGTAGCACTCTCATATCATTTGTTTGGTTAAATACTGCCACGAGTTTTCAAAATCCCTTCTTCTTTGAATAGCTATAACCCAGAGAAAGAGATATCCCTTTTGTCACTGAGATTAGTGTTGTGGATGAGAATACTTTGGTATAGAAACTGTGGATTTAGGAGCTTTTGAATAAGGGGCTCAATCCTGACCATAAATAAAGATTAGTTTTTTGTACGACATCTTTCTTTTTAAATGACTTTATATCTACTAGGAGACAGAAAATTTTACTGGATATTTCCAAGTGTTGGTAGGTATTTATGTCAGCTCAGATCCTCCTCCAGCTAGAAGGAATTAGTTTGGTCTCATAATGAACTGAGAACAAGTACACACATACACACACACACACACACACACACACACACACACACAATGGAGCATGTACACACGTCTGATAATGGGTCTGGTCCCTCTTTTGGACACACACTTGTCTTTGTACTTTCTTTTTTTCCCCACTTTTACTCCATGCTGTGACCCCAAAATGATGAAGTAAAGAACTGCATCAAAGCCTGTATTCCTTCCTACATTTATGTGAGCAATTGTGCAGGTATCTCCTTTCTGCTCCTCTTTTATTATACTCCGGCACAGCAGATGGGCGTAACGATAGTTCCTGGTCTCCCCGGAGTCCCTGCCCAATGAAATCCAAGACAAACAGAAGGAGACTTCATGAAACACAGCCACTGAGCTGTGGTTCATGTACCACAACCCCTTCAGTGGGGACTTGAAGGGGTGCCACTAGAGATTCTCCCTCCCCGCACAACATGTCAAGGAGAATTTTTGTTTGAACCTCTCTAGGGCACCGCAGCTCAGTGGCACATTTCATGTAGGCTGTGCCTCAAAGGAATTAAGGAATTAATTCAGGGAAATCCAAATAGTCCCTTCTGTCTTTATAAGCTCTGAGCATATAGAAAAAAATGCTCAGCTGGGATCACAGCAAGAAGAGAGAATTCATTACGGTCTCATAGCTACACAGTCTTCTATATCAGTTAGGTATCCAATAGTGAACCCTGTGTTAAGATCACCACTACCCACCCAGTTCTGCCCTCACCTAAACCAGACCAGTTCCCTTTGAAGTTAGTGAAAGGTCTGCATTAGGGATAGCTCAACCAGTGCTGCCAGATCTGCATGCACAAGGAGAGCATTAGTGTTCAGTTTAATGTTGCTTCTCCAGTGTTGACTGCTTGGGTGCACAACTTCCTCTGACTATAATTACAGCCTATTTGGTGTTAGAAAGATTTCTCTTATTTATTGTGTGCCAGGCCTGAATAGATGGTGTATTTCTGCCTCTTCCCGCTTAACAGAAACCCTCTGTCCTTATTCCTTTAATTGCCTAGGTATGTGGGCACGTTATTTGTACCCAAGATATATCCAGGCACTGGAGGCAGATCAAGGGTCAAGATAAGATCGTAGAGTGAATCACAGGTAATCCATGCAGTGGATGCAAGCAACTGCATTCATGGAATGGGAGGAGCCTAGATGTGCCTAGATCAGCCCTAATTCACATGCTTATCCAGGCTCAAAATCTCAGTTCATTTTTGTTGGTAGCATATTTCTTTGGGCCAGGTTTCAACAGCGACTATTATCACTGTGTGACGCAAGTTCTTCATGTTTCATTCCCGATTCAGGAGAAAACTCAGCTTTGATGCATGTGTGAAAAGCTCATACTGGAGTGCCGACAAGAGAACAGGTTAACATGGACAACGCGCTCGCAAGAGCGCAATGAAACTGCAGACATTTCCTCCAGTACGATATGTAAAGGATTTCAAGCACGGGGTGCCATTCTGTTGTGCTCAGAGACACCTTTGCTGTGACCAGTGAGCCAGAATGGGCAGAAAGAGTCCTCCTACAGGAATAAAACACGACAGATTTGCTGCTAGAGGAGCCTCTCTGGAGACAAAACATCTCAGTGCTGTGACAACCACTAGTCTCTCCTGGTCCCAGGGCACTGCTGCTGTCCCCCTAGGAAAGACCAGCTATTATTTGAAGGTAAACAGAAGGAAAACATTTCCAAGCTTCACTGCTCAAACCGCTTCTGCTCAGACAAAGCTCATCTGATATAGGCTGTTCACATATCACTCTCCTCCCTAGCTCCCTTCTCTCTGAGTCTAAGACTGAATTAATCAGAAAGTGAAACTATCGTTAAGAAAGCAGCTTCTTAATATGTATCACCCTCAGGAAAGGAAATTCTAATTTTCCTTTCCTGACATAATTGCATCAAGATGCTGAAGCTAAGCATCATTTTGTGGCCGGTTGCGAAGTGGTGTTTAGGACTTCTGAAAAACTGCAAATGAAGTCTGTAAGATCTGTCTAAGCAATTTCTCCTCCATCCACATATGTCACCTTTGATAACTACTTATTTTACATGCATCTGTTCTTCAATTTGTAGCCTCTACTTCAAGGTTTACCAGGATTCAGAGCCCTGCAGGACAGCTCTGTTCCACAGGGAAAAGAGACCTAAGTAGAGGAGTCTGAGCCTTATATAGAGGTCTTAATGATTTAACAGGGCACATCTAAACATTCATTATTGTGCTTTTGCTAACGCACATTAAATTTAGTACCTTTGTTGTGAGGTACCAGAAGAAAGGGCATTTGCTTATTTTAATGCGCATAAGTGAAAGCACACCTTTTCGTGATGCTCTAATCCGTATTAAAATAGGCTAATGAGCATTAAAGTGCACGTGCAGATGCACCCACAGATCATCTGATATGCCATTGCCTGAGTTACTTTCATTTCCAACAAAACATACATACAATCTCCGATAGTACCCCCAACCCCCTCATTGTTTATGGACTTTACAACCATTGCAGTAGTGATTACAGTACCTAAAATAGCCACCACCTCATCATCCTGTATGACTTCTAGGGATCCTGACACCACAAAGCACAGAGCATCCACACTTTCACCAGCATGGTAGATGAGGTCTCCTGGAGCACAGTGTATAGTCTGAAACTCCACAGCCAAGGCCCGCAGACAGCCGTCGCTAGCAAGTCGAAAGGCAGGGTGCTCGTTAAAAACCTTCCGATTCAGATGTACACAGATATCCGCTCTCATGTCTTTGGGGCAAATTGAAAGCACCTGAATGAAGAAGGGAAAAAAAGATCAATTGGGAGCACGATACCTGATCAGCAGGGGTTTTAAGAAACTGCTTAACAAATGAAACAAGAGAAATGCACCTCTCGAGTATTTTCATCGTTGTCACTAGCAGACAATGTGCAGAGAGATTTTTTTACCCTCATCTGTGAAATGAAAGTGAGACCTCCTTGGTGAACCACTCCGAGGACCTCTAACGTTAGTCCTCTACTAATGTAATGTAATGACCACTACCGAGGACTAACTAAGGTTTATAAAGTAGATGCCTGTTTTCAGCTATATCTAGTAAAACAAACAGCTGTTTGCTCTCAATATTTTTCTTGGGAACTTTTTCCTTACCATTTATTCAGATAACACTCCCTATAACAGCACCAGATGTTTAAGAATAATGTGGCACCAGGACACCAACATACTACTATTCACAGGCATATTATGATGATTATGACCCAGGTTCACATATGTTCTGGTATATGTACGAAGCATGGCAGACCTTCAGTCGCATCAAGCCCTGCCTGCTTGTTCAGTATGAGAACTTCTCACTGTTCATAGTATCATAGAATCAATGAGTGGGAAGGGACCTAGACAGATCATCGAGTCCGACCCCCTGCCATGGGCAGGAAGGAGCACTGGGGGTGGCAGGGGTCATAAGACCCCAGCCAGGTGCCTATCCAGTCTCCTCTTGAAGATCTCCAGGGAAGGTGAGAGCACCACCTCTCTGGGAAGCCTATTCCAGGCTC